ATTGGTATTGCCATATTATTCCAATGAAAATGTGAGTTTTCAATTATAGTGGAAAAATGCTAATCTCACATTTCTAGCTTCCAAATAAGACATGACTACATTTTCACCTTTCTAAGTTAAAATAGATAAGAATAATACCTACCTCATAACATTCTTGTGAAGGTTTTAGATTAGGCATACAAAGTTCTCTGCAGAGCCTAATAAGCACTCAATATCAGCTATTAATTTTTTTCCAGTACTATTATTCACATATACATGAATTTAATGAACACTATTTTATGTGTACTAGTAAAAAAGCTCTAGGTTTTGGGAATATGTTAGCAGAAGAATAGACTAGGAAGTTTTAATCTCCTATCTTTTCCCTCAAAACACCAAAAAACAGGCAGAAACTGTACCATGTTGAATAGGAGTGGCAAAAACTTCTTCTTAACCTTAAGAATCTTCAAGTCTTCAACCATCGAGTATGATGTCAGCTGTGTGTTTCTTATGTGACTTGTATCATGTTAAGGAAATTCTCTTCTATTCCTACCTTATAAAGTGTTTTTAAGTATAAAAAGATGTTGACTTTTGCCGAGTACTGTTTCCATATTAATTGAGATGATTAAATGTTTTCTTCACTTCCTTCTATTAATATGATATGTTATAATGATTTATTTTTTATATTTAACTTTGCATTTCTAGCATAAATCCTCCTGAAGTCAGTTTTCTAGTATTTTTGGGGGGATTTTTACATCAGCCTTTATCAAGGCTATTGGCCTATAGTTTTCTTTTCTGTCTGGCTTTGGTATCAGACTAATGCTGGCCTCACATCTATTCCTTCTTCTTCAGCTTGTTGGAAGACTTTGAGAAGGGTTGATATTAATTCTAGCTAGAGCAATTAGGCAATAAAAAGAAATAAAAGGTATCTAAATCAGAAATATATGCGAATTTCCTAGGAAATAGTGCTGTAAAATAGGACCACAAACATGGAAGCTTAAAACAACAGAAACTTTTTCTCCCATGGTTCTAGGGTCTAGAAGTGTAAAATCAAGTGTCAGCAGGATCACGCTGCCTCTGAGACTGTGGGTGGAATCATTCCGTACTTTTCTGGGCTTCTGATGATAGCCAGCAATCCTGATTGACCCTTGGCTTGTCACTACATCGGTCTCTGACTCTCATCCTGTAGCGTTCTCCCTGTGTGTATGTGTCTGTCTCCATAGCTCTTCTCCTCTTTCTTGTAATGATGCCAGTCATATCAGATTAAAGGCCTCTCTACTCCAGATGACCTCACTACAGGGATCTATCCTATTTCCAATTAAGGTCACATTCTTCAGTTCTGAAAAGAAATGAATTTGGGGGACATTAT